TAAATGAGGAATTACTGTACTCTGAATGGCTCCTATTACTTTAAGGCCCTTCACAAGTTAGTCCTTCTCTACCTATTAGTTCTAATGAGTTATCAAGCCCAATTCTGCTCTGTCAATAATTAGGCCATTAGTCCAATTTTTCTTCATTTTGCCCCTCCATTTTGCTCCTTATACATGGGAGCAGCTCCCTGTTAATATCCATAAATCTACTGTGCTGTTCTCCTTAACATCTCTTTAAACTAATTTCTGGGGTCATGCCTATGAAACACTCCACAGTGGCTGAGGAGCTGGTGTTCTGAGAATGTTGGTCGGTGCTAAATATGATTATTTCACAGTTAATTACTCCTCTCCTTATCAGAGGATTCAGATCACAGGTCTCAAACTCCCAGCCCACGGGACATCCCCGACTGGAGCAGTCTGGCTGAGGAGTCCCCATTGGCGGTGGAGGGGAGGGGGGCTTTCCATTACTGGCCTGCAGTCCCTACCCCTTCCTGCCATCACCCCACCCGCTCCACCGCATCCTACAGGACATTGGTTTGGGGATCACCGGGGGGAGGGGGGGAGGGCGGAGGTTGAGGCGGAGAGGGAAGGGCTGGTGCCGTATGGCACTCTGAACCATTTTTCCTGACTTTAGGTCCTCCTAGCACTTGTGGAGAATACTCTAGCTAGCCTACTGAGTCAAAGTTAATGGTTAAATCTCTCAAGTTACATCCAGGAAAAATCATTGACTTAATTCTTTTCATCCTAGTGACTTTGTTGGCATTGGGTGGATGTATTTGCAAGCAGAATTTGGTTTATTTTCTTTACATACTTAAACCCGTTTTCATTCTGGCCTTGTAAGCTCACCCAGGGGCATAATTTAATCTGTTAAAAAAAAAAAGATTGTGTTTTCCAGTATTGCTTATTCATGTTTCCCTGCTTGCAATAATTTATTGTGCTAAACTAACAGTCTCTGTGATAAGTGCTGGTTTGCTTTCCAATTTTGAGCAGTTTTGTAAACTGAAGTTTTACACGCCCATCCTAGTTAGGATAACTTAATTCCCTCATGGATACTTAGCACATCTAATTACTCTAATTCTGACCTACAAACACTGTTGAAAAATATCCCTGTTCTTTCATTTCTGGAGTTTTCCAGCTGCAACATGTTCCACTGAATAAAACATTTCAGTGAATTTGCCCCATAAATAATACAGTATCCAGACCAACGTACAACCAACTGTACATAATAACCTCAGAATTCCATTGAGGATTTCTAATGACATAATAAACTACAAGAGCAGAGTGGAAACTGTAATATTATATTACAATTTAGATATACTTTACTCTTCTTCTATATGGTAAGAAAGCTCACAGACATTTTTTTCCCCTTGATTAGAACATTTTTCTTGAGCACTTCAAAAGCATTAAGGGCATAATTTCGAAAGAGGATGCAGCAACTACAGCAACAAAAATCACGTGTGACCACAAGTGGAGTGACTGAGCACAGAAATGGCACATGCACACATTTACCTATATTGCATGTGTAAATGCCTCAGTGTGCCAAAATGTAGGTTGTTTCACCCTGTTTTGGTAGTATGCCTCTTGAGGCTTATTAAAAGGAATGTTTATTTGTAAAGATCAAAGCTGACACCACACTGAAGTATCACTTTATCTTACTCTACTGTGCAAACCAGTGCGATTGAGAGAAGAACAATTCATTGACTCTTGGTTTTTGTCCTGTAAGACTGAATTAAATATATAATTTTAAAAACAACAATCCTTTACGAAGCAACAGTCCAGTCCAAGCCTCAATGAGTCTACCATGGGGTGGGCAATAATTTTTGACAGGGGGCCACTCCAAGAATTTGGTTAAGTGTTCAAGGGCTGCACTCTTCCATTATATTAATGGAGGAGGTGCGGGGGGTTGTGATGGAGGTTGGGTGCAGAGGGGAGCTTGGGGAAAAGGACTGGTGTGTCGGATCTAGGAAGGAGTTTGGGTGAAGGAAGGGATTGTGACCTGGGGCAACAAACTGGGGTGAGGAGAGGGTGCAGGGCCTGGGAGGGGAGTGTGATCTGAAGTAGGAGTGCAAGGGTTTGGATTGTGACCTGAGACAGGAGATTGGAGTGCAAGGTCTGGGAGGGTTTTCTGGCCTAAGGGAGGGCTATAGAAGAGGGTGCAGGACCTGGGAGGGGTTGTGACCTGGGGCAGGAGTATAAGGCAGGGACACTGGCTAAGGAACCTGCGGGGCTGCTGGCTGGGAGCCAGGTAAGTTCTCCCAACCAGATCCTGTCTCTGGCACCCCAGCCTCTCCCTCCCCCAACTGTCTGCCCCTCTTCTGCACCCTTGCCCCATGTAACCCAAACCTTCTGCACCCCTGCTCAAGGCCCCATACACCGTCTCAGACACTGCATCCCCTCCTACACGCCTCCTCAGGTCACAATCCTCTGTCAGACCTTGCACCCCAATCTGCTGTCTCTGGCACAACCCAAATCCTTGCACCCCTTCCTGCACTCCTGCCCCAGGTTATAACTCCCTCCCTACTTTGCACCCCCTGTATGGATTCAGAGCAGCTGCAGAGGCCATGTTTACTGCTCTGATATGAATGCTGTAAGCCCAGGAGATGTCCCACAAACAGGCAGCTGCTATTGGTGGAAAACTGGCCAATAGGAGCTAGTGAGAGTGGGGGCAGCATGAGAAGCCTCTCTTCCCTCCCTCCAGGCTCTCAGCATTCAGTAACACACAAATGGTCCTACAGCCAGCTTTCCTGAGTGCTGAGTGGAAGTGGGGCAGGCAGGGAGCTAGCTGAGGCTCTCGTGGGCTGGATCTGGCAGATTGGCAGGTTGGATTCAGCCCGCGGATCATATTTTGCCCAGCCCTGGTCTAGAATTTCAGTTCTGCAAAGCACATCTGCAGCAACCAGAGAGCTCACAATTTGCCAATCAAGTATCAAAAGATTTTAATTTAACCTAAGCAATAATATAACATAGTTTGAATTAGTCAGTATACATAATATAGAGCATAATAGTACATAGACATGATGAGCCTGGACCACAAATTTTGGATCCAGGAAGGGAGATAAATCTGAATTTCCCCTAAATTCAGGAATGTTTCATAGATTGTAAGCAAGTTCTAGCCAGAAGAAGCCACAAAGGTCATCTAGACTGACCTCTGGGATAACACAGCCCTTAGAATTCCCTTGAATTCGTCTTTGAACTAGAACATGTCTTTGTAAAAACATCCAGTCTTGACTTTCAAATTGCCAGTGATGGAGAATCCACAACCACCCTTGGTAATTGTTCTAATGGCTATTGAAAATGTATGCCTTATTTCCAGTCTTAATTTATCTAACGTCAACTGCAGGCCACAGGACTGTGTTAGGGTATGTCTACACTACCCCGCTAGTTCGAACTAGCGGGGTAGTGTAGACATACCCCTAGTTCTTGAATGCAGGGATTTGGAGCAATCAAGTTTTTGAATTGCTCCTCTCCAGCTCTGCTCCAGCATCAATAGTGACTGCTCTAGCTCTGCTCCGACACTGCTCTGCTCTCCAACTCAAATACATTTTTAACTAAATAAAAAAATGCATACTGCCAATGTGTGACCAAGCATGGGTAGACATAGGTGTGATAATTTTAGCCATGCTAGCACAGCTAGAAATCACAGTCTAGACAGGTGCACAAGATGCAGTGTGGGCTGTGAAAGCATGCTGTAGCTCCTAGGTATGGACTCATGTTGCAAGTTTGCACTGAAGACTATAACAGGATTGCTATTTTTATCCATGCAAACACAGGTATGCATACCCATGCTGCAACCATAACTAATGTGCAATATATACTCTTAGGCAGGGGAAGCCTTCAGCAATCCTGGGAGAGAAGCAGAGAAATTACAGGGTGTGGAGATGTAGAAAAAGAAGAGTAAATATAAAGGGGACAGACTTAAGGGGAAAGAAAAAGAAAAAGAAAAAGAAAGCATGAGGAAAACGACATGTCAAGAATAAGAGGTTAAAATGAAGGAGAGACTGGGAAATGGGCCTGTTCATTTTAGTTATTTATTCCTATTAACACATTTGATTGCATTTCCCGGTCAGAAAAGGGGGGGTTTATTTCATACCCTCAGAAACAGCAAACTCATTGACTAATTGCCATCAAAGGGTCAGGATGCAGACTCTTGGAGCTGATTACAACTGAAGAGTGTTGAGTGGGAGCACTTCAATGCTTATTGCTTTTTCAAGCACTAATACAATAGCACTTTTTTGTGGGAGAAGTCTGCCAACCACAGACATTAAATAACTATTCCAAGTTTCCACTTCCTCCAACCATTCAGAAAATAACAATATGTATATATCTAGGGGTATGTTTACACTAGCTCGTTAATTCGAGCTACATAGGTAAATCAGGGAACCGGGGTTGCAAATGAAGCCCGGGATTTAAATATCCCGGGCTTTATTTGCATGTTCCCGTCCGGCCGCCATTTGCAAATGAAGCCTGGAATTTAAATATCCCGGGCTTTATTTGCATGTTACCATCTGGCCGCCATTTTTAAATCCCCCTTAGTTCGAACGAATTGCCTGTGGCTACATGTAGCAGTTTAAAGTTAATCTGAACTAAGTCCTTAGTTCGGATTAACTGTTACACCTTATTAACTTTAAACTGCCGCGTGTAGCCACAGGCAGTTCGTTCGGACTAAGGGGCATTTAAAAATGGCGGCCAGACGGGAACATGCAAATAAAGCCCGGGATATTTAAATCCCGGGCTTCATTTGCAACCCCGGTTCCCTGATTTGCCTACCTAGCTAGAATTAACGAGCTAGTGTAGACATACCCTAAGGGACATGAACTTCGGTGCACCTGAGAAGAGTAATTTGCTTGAAGGAAATAACTATTTAGATTAATCTGCAAGACATTCTGCCTCAAAGGATTCTGGCTGAAGAATGTCTTTCTAAGGGTTTCCCGCTTCTTCATACACTTACACACAGACACACCCACCCACCATCTTTAGCCATCTATTCTCGGTCTACTTACTGGATGGAGTTCTCAATGCGAGTGATTGTGAGAAAAGCTGCTAGGTTTGCTGTGTAAGATGAGATGACAATCAAAGCAAAAAGCCACCAGGCGCCCATCATCATTCGGGTTGCCAGTGTCGTATAAGGAACTTCTCCTCCTGTTGGACAGAAGTAGGAAAATTAGAACTTTCATTTGCATGATGCCAAACCAAATCTTAACTGTTAATGCTTCAATCATGTAAACAGTGTGACTAGCATCATGGAACACTTCCATTATTAAAGTGAACAGGATTTGAACTATAATTTCTATACAGTGAGGAGTGTTAAATGAAATCTAACACCTCCACTCCAAAAGGCTTTCTATGAACTCCTTCATTATTTAACTGTGATTCATCTGTATTTAATTGTGTATTTAACTGTGATTCATCTGACAGTCAGGCCTATACGAGAGACAGGTTTTATGAGCTCAGAACAAAACAGCATTTTTAAGCACCTATAGTTTTTTTCCTTACATAGTTCTTTAATAATCTTAATTAAGCTCTCCCTGTGCTTTTGAACAGATGGAGTTCGTTAAAACAGAAAACAAAACAAAACCACTGCTTTTTCACAGCTATGCTGATAGCCATATGTAAGGTTGATAGAACCATAGAATCATAGAGCTGGAAGAGACCTCAGGAGGTAATAGACTCCAGCCCCCTGCCCAAAGCAGGACCAACTCCAACTAAATCATCCCAGCCAGGGTGCAGTCTCCTGTACAAGTTAAAACTAGGGATGTTAACTATCGGTTAATTGAATAGTCGATTAACCACATGAATTCTTATCAGTTAATCGACTATTCTACAGTCCCCGGGCAACCCACCTGGCTCTTAATATACTTGAATTGCAGAACTGAAGCAGGGGTAGGTCCAGGACCCAGTGTAAGCCAGAACTGAGCTGGGCTGCTGGCCAGCCTGCTAAAAAACTTAGGCCGTGTCCAGACTCAGGGGTTTTTTCGGGAAAAGTAGCCTTTTCCCAAAAAAACTTCCCCTGCGTCCAGACTCAAGCTGCATTCTTTCGAAATTATTTCGAAAGAACGCGGCTTTTCTTTCGATGGCGGTAAACCTCAATTTACGAGGAAGAACGCCTTCTTTCGAAAGTTCCTCTTTCGAAAGAAGGCGTTCTTCAATGTAAAGAGGCCGTCTTCGAAAGAGAGCATCCAGACTCGCTGGGTGCTCTCTTTCGAAAAAGCGGATTTCTCTTTCGAAAGATCCGCCTGCAGTCTAGACGCGATCTTTTGAAAGAGGCTCTTTCGAAAGATGCTTTCGAAAGAGCCTCTTTCGAAAGAAGCCTGCAGTCTAGACATAGCCTTACTGGCCATGGGTGTGGGGGAAATGCATGTAGTCTATAGCATTAACCTATAAGCTTTTGCTTACTGGTTAATCAATTAATCAACTACACTATTACATCCCTACTAAAAACTGCTTACAGTGAGCTCAGATATGCAGAAACTCCATTTATACTGAATTAGAACAACAGACTATTACTTTGTATAGTTCGTTTAATCTCAAAAGTGTTTTACAAACATTATTGCAGCCTCAACTACCCTGTTGGCTAAGTAAACAATAACTTCACCAGCAATGAAATTACTCATGTTGGGGTGGCACTCCAAACTAATATACCACTTAATTTATTCTAATTTTGTCAATAGAAAGCAATTCTGAATCATCAGAGCTGTATTGTGTTGTACACATGTTCCAAAAAAATAACATTCACAAAAATATAATCTAGCAACAAACACGTAGTTCGTTCATTAAACAAAAATTTCTACTTATCCACCAAATGCACTGGTATGACATTAATGAAGTAGTTCTTTTCTATTTCAGTGATTTAATTCAAAATCACACACAGGAAGAATTTCTATATGAAAGAAAAATGATTGTCTAAAAAATAAAGCTCTAGATTCTGAGGGACAGGAATGGTCACAGCTAGAAATAACCAAAAATAGACAAGTCAGTGCAGTATGCAATCATAGTTAACCTATTACCTTGATTGACTACTATATTCATTCTTTTCTTCTCCCTAGTTACTGTCCCTGGAAGGCTGATTGTTTTATACATAGCTATTCATGTTAAGGAAGTTTTCTCAGACAAACTCTAATTCAAATAAAAAACTTAAACAACAACCAATAGTCTAGCAGCACCTTAAAGACTAACAAACACGTAGATGGTATCATGAGCTTTTGTGGGCACAACCCACTTCTTCAGATTACCGGAGTATTAGAAGTCCAGATCCAAGAATAAACAAGGGAAAGTGAGGTTGAAGGGTGGAAAGGAGGGGAAAAAGGAAAAAAGAGAAAAAAATAGTGAATTAGCTTGTTCAAGTTACATGAGGCTGATAAGAACAATTTTCACCTACATAAGCACCCACTGTTTGGTTGATTGGTTAAATCATTAGGATGTGGCAGGTAGTGTGCGAGCCAGCCCATATCTTTATTCATTCCTCTCTGATAAGAATCGAACTTGTAAATGAAGTTAAGATCCAACCCTTCTCTGTGTATTTGGCTTGTGGAATTGGCCTGAAACAACACTGTGACTTAGAGATCCATTAGTGAGTGCCCGGGCAGGTTACAGTTTTCTCCAACAGGTTTGTGTGTGTTGCTTTTTCAGATATCTGATTTGTGTCCATTAATTCTTTCTTGTAGGAACTGTCCAGTCTGGCCAATATACATGGAAGTGGGGCACTGCTGGCATTAGTAGTTGTGCAGTTGTATGAGCTCCTGATGTGGAGGCTGATGTGGTTGGGTTCATTGATGAAATCGCTTGTATAGATGTGTGGGCAGAGTTGGCACCAGGGCTGATTGCAGGGGTGGGCTCCTGGATGAGTATGATTTAGGTGTATTGCTTGGTTACTGGAAATAATTTGTTTGAGGTTAGGGCGTTGTCTGTAGGCAACGATTGGCCTTTCCCCCAAGGCCTGTGAGAGTGAGGGATCATTTTCCAGGATAGGTTGTAGATTGTTGATAATGCATTGGGAGGGGTTTAAGTTGTGGGCTATAGGAGATGACAAATGGAATTCTGTTGTTTACTCTTCTTGACCTGTCTTGAAGTAGTTCTTGTTTGGGTACTCTTCTGGCTCTGTCAATCTGTTTTTTCACTTCTACGGGTGGGTATTCCAGTTTTAAGAATGCTCTGTCTGTGGGATTGGAGCAAAGACAGTTGGTATCTTAGGGCTTGGCTGTATACAATAGATCGAGAAATGTGTCTGGCATGAAAGCTAGAGGCATGAAGGTAATTGTAGCGGTCAGTAGGTTTCTGGTACAAAGTGGTAGAAATATGTCCGTCATGTAATTGTACTGTAGCGTCAAGGAAGTGGATCTCTCGTTTGGACTGATCCAGGCTGAGGTTGATGGTGGGATGGAAGTTGTTGAAATCCTTGTGAAATTCTTCAAGGGTGTCTTTCCCATTGGTCCATATCATGAAGATGTCATCAACAGGGGCGGCCCATGCCTATAGGCAAACTAGGCAGCCGCCTAGGGTGCCAAGTTACATGGGGCACCAAATTCCAAATACCCTGCCACTTCCATTTCCCCTTCCCCTTCCTGTGCCTTACCTGGAGCACGGCTTCCCTGCGGCCAGGAGGGGGGTAAGTCCTGGGAGAGGCAGCACACGGGGAGGTTTCCCTGCACCGCAGGGCGGTCGGCCCTGGAGCAG